CCATGATGCAAAATTCTCATAACTACACATCTTTAAAGCGTTTGTGTAAAGTATCATTAAAATGTACTGAGTTGAATCCATTTTGTGAGTACTTTTAGACTGTAAACAATGGTTGCTATGGGTGTTGCTATGTTGAAATATAGCTAGAAGTGTTCAGATTTCTTAATTTAAACGTAAATTCAGGAGTAATTAGAGGAAAATCGTTTCAAAATACGATTTACAAATGGACAGGGATGTTGAATCTTCATGTTCCAAAAAAATGGGTTTTTGGAGAAAAATTTATATCTGAGAGTATAAGACCCCCTTAACAAGTACAGTGGAACCCCACCTTACGGCCACCTCGTTATTCTGGCCACTTTATTCTGGCCCAAACAAAAGCGCAGTCAGTTATTCCCTTAAATACGGCCACCCTGTGCATGCGGCCAGATTTTTGTGGCCCGTTGCTGACCGGGTTCCCACTGTATCAATAACGGGTGGGGTAATAAATACCATTATTATTCGATTCATTTTTTCTTCCTTCTCATCGGCTGAGAGCCCACCACGTGACCTGCAAGTAATTGCCTGCAAATACTGGTCTGCTCATGCGTAGCATCATCTAAATATGTTTTGCTGCAAATAATATTCTGCTCATGCGCAATTGAAACCACGTTGTCGGGTGAAAAATGGCAGATCACCTCCCTGAGCTCTCAGAGAGTGATTTAATTAAATATGAAAACAAACTTGGTGATTGAATGATAAAACATTTATTGAACTCGGTTATGGCAAAATATTGGGGCAAAATATTGATCTGCTCGCCACTGACAAATCACGATATTTCGCCCAACCTCGTCCAATATATAATTGTTATTGAAGCGTATTAGTTTCCCTTCCGCGCATGCGGTAGTAGAACTATAGGGAGCCACCTTAAGTAGAACAAGTATGAAGGTATATTTTACTATGCAATGATAATTTATATAAATCTGGTCATTATAAGAATTAAGAGTCCCTGTCCATAAAAATGGAAAATAACTCGGCAAGGGTCGAAAATTCGATTTCGCTCA